TTCCTAATTGATGCATTTCAGTCATGTGCCAATTTGGTAACGTCAAGTATGGTAACATAGCTCTACGCATGTTTGTATTGGGAAAAGTGAATGGTAACTTTATATAATTTGGATCAAATAGTGTAGATTGATACAAAGCTTTAGATAAGGTTTCCAAATATTGGGTGTGTACGTCGTTTTTCGGTATACATTGTCAATTTAATAATTCATTATATTAAAACGCGTTAGTCACAGTGAACACAAAAAACGTTATTGTTAACACATAAAAGTGTTCAAAAACATTAAATATCTTTTTTTTTTAAATATATACCTATTAGCTTGAATAAATTTTCAATGCATTTTCCATATATAAATTAACTACAATTAAAGAGATTTTTATTGTATGTCGCCCATGGTGGTGGTTAGTGACTTAGCCTAACAGCTTCATACAAATTCGTTTATAAAAGTATATAAAAGTAGAATATCTACGATTTCAGTTTTTGAAATTTTTTAATCACATTTTACACACTATTTACCGTAGCTTAAAAGTAAAGTTCAAAATTAAGAAATTTTATGGCTCTGCAATAGTCAAACTGAAAAATTTATATGAAATTACGTGCGAGGCATTTACATTTACTTATTTTCCCTAAAAGTAATTTTTTACTTTTTCTTCTTCGTGTTGTTACCTTACTTGAAATTTATTTCTTTTGTATCTGGAATGCGAGCCAATTTTTGAAGTACATATATTTATTTATATACGAACAATTTCCAGTTACTTGGTATGTAGCCAATAAGACACAAGGTCGTTGATGTTTTTTTTAAAAAAAAAACGAGAAAAAAGTTACGCACAATTGAGACCCGGCTTGGCTTAGTCCATACTTTGCAAGTTTATTGAAACCGTAACAAGATTTTTATAGACTGCAATTAATTGTTTTTTTCAGGTGTAGTTTTTGGTTGCAGTACATTTTTATGAGTTTTAATTGTTTTGTAGTTTAAAAAATGTTAATATTGTGTAAATACTTTACACTTTATTTGATATAATTAAACTTAAATTGATGTTTACTCCCATGCCCAAAAACAAGTAGAGGTAATAAAAATAATATATGATTTGTTGCCAATTGGTCCAAATGTTATATCTTTGCATCCAAAAGGTCCAAAAGGTTCAATAATAACCAGAGCTTAACTAGTTTGAAGGTTATCTACAAATTTCCATTCTTAATTAAAAAAAAATTGACGCTAATTTTAATTTTCTAATAAATTTAATTTAAGTTTCTGGACACAACAGAGCTATGTTTAGATCAATCTCTAGCAGTACTGGATCTTTCTATTAACAGTTGCCAATTACAGACGTGAGTCGCCCTTGCCCGCGTTGAGTAGCCTCCCGATCAGTTGCTTGCTGTCGCCAATTGCTAGTACCGAACGCCTCCAAATCGTTTGTTATTTGTTCTTTCCACTAAAGTTGCGGACACCTTCTACCACGTTTTCCTTTCCAGCCGAAGGTCTTTCTGAACAAGCTATTGAACCCGCTGAATTTTTACGCACTTAACTATGTCAATGTCGCAATTTAGCTCATAAAGTTCATCGTTCCATCTAATTCGATACTCGTCGCCAAAGCGTAAGGGACCATAAATCATCCGAAGAATTTCTCTCTCGAATGTTCCTAACTCTTTCTCATTACTGTTGGTAATTGTCCAAGCTTTTACATCACACAGCAGGACAGGTTGACGTCTTTTTTGATGTTTATGTTGGTTTCAAAATAAACAAAGTCTTTCACAACTTCGAACTTATAATTATCAACAGTAACGTAGGTCCCAAGGTGCTCAGGAGATTTGTTTGTTGACAGAAAGTACTTTGTTTTGTTCTTATTTATCATAAGGCCCATTCACATGTATTTCTAAATCGAAAAATGCCGTACTAACGGCGCGGGTGTTCAGGTCAATGATATTAATATCATCGGCAGCATTACACTATTGCAGAATATTATGGACCTCTTTAAGTTCAATACAGTACTTTTGTGATGTTTTTGTTTATGTGTTTGTAGTTTTTTGACGTTATTAATGTAGATCGGCTCTTATGGCAAATTTTAAACAAATCACAGCCCACTTTTTGAAGAAGAGAGTTACCTAAGACGTGGTTACTTTAAATGATATGTGAACAAGAGAAGAATTGGTTTACTAAAATAATATTTGGGATGAGTTCTTTAAATTTTAAAATGGTTTCGAAGCCTTAAATCCACTTTTGATGAGTAGGTGTCGTTTAACGAAGTAATTGAACAACTCAGTATTGTATTATTTTACATATGTTTTTCTAATATATGCTAAATAAAAAAATATTAAATAAAAATATTAATAAATTAATTAATTAATATAATCAATCAATATTTTGATTTACATGTAATT